AAGAAAGAAAGAAAGAAAGAAAGAAAGAAAGAAAGAAAGAAAGAAAGAAAGAAAGAAAGAAAGAAAGAAAGAAAGAAAAGTAGAAAGAGGGGGCAGGGAGGGACAGAAGGAGGGAGGGAAGGGAGGGGAGGGGAGGGGAGGAAGGAAGGAAGGAAGGAAGAAAACTAACAGTCCAAATTAATAGGGGATATTCCACAGGAAGTACAGAATGGCTCATTTTTCCAGGACTACATGCCTCTTATAACTGACAGAAGTATGTAACCAAATTGTCATGCATTAAAAATAAAGATACTGTTATGAAAGGCTCATACTGGAAGGATAATATGAGGCCAAAGGGTGAAGAGATTATTGGTGAAGCCAAAGAAATCAGGTGAAGTTGCAAGAGACAGATAGCACTTAATATGGATCATCAAGAAGGCAAAAGGAAGTATTATTCATTGGCAGAAAGTGTTTGAAATGTATAAAAAAATGCAGTATCTGTAATGTATAACTCATGGTGGTCAACTTCACATGAGAATGATGAGAATAGTCTAAGCATGTAGGGAAGATGTGTAGATAGGATCATGGCATTTAAAAGTAAAGATGTTGAATAAATTAACCTGTATAAGTGAAAGTCCACCTAAGAAACTGGTAAAAATGGCGACTAGATAGTCATTAGGGTATTTAATATTTACATTTTTGGATGATGTTGCATACATTTTCTATAATTGTTTCATTCTCTTGTATAAAAATGCAGGACTTGGACCAGGGTCTCATGTAGCACAACGCTTAGGAGACAAAGGCAGGAGGATCTCTTTGAGTTCAAGACCAACATGGTCTATACATATATATGGTGACTCATGTCTGTAATCTCAGTACTAGAGAAGCTAAGGCAGAAGCATCAGGAGTTTAAAGCAAGCCTGAGGTACAAAATGAGTTTATGGACAACCTGGGCTACATGAGACACTATGTCAAATGAATTAATGAAAGATATTGATACAACTCATTGTGAAAAGTTTAAAGAGACCATTAGAAAAATGAACAAAAGACATGAACAGTTATATCACAGTAAGGGAGCTACATAAGAAGGAAAAATGTTTGGAGACAGCCTCTCACTACATAGCCCTCACTGGCCTGGATTTCACTATGTAGACCATGCTAGCCTCAGACTCACAGAGGTCTGCCTACTTCTGTCTCCTGAGTGCTGAGATCAAAGACATGCACGCCACATCCCACTAGCAAGAATATTTTTAATATCTAGTTTCATTAGTAATCATAATACTATACCATACCTATTTATTTGGAAAAATTTATAAACCTTTCAAACCAATCATTGAAGAGATATTAATAAGTAGTATTGCTTAAATCTGAGCAATGGGATCACAAATTATACAAACATTCTCTAAGAGTCTGATTTTATTTGGCAAGGTTGACACTCGTATGTTCTCCCCAGTCGTTCTACTCCTTGGAGAAATGCTCTACATACATGACAAGAAGATTCATAGAAGCAGGTGTTCTGTACAGTGTGCACAATGATCTATGATAGACAGTCTTTTAATTTGAAGTGACTGCGTTTATTAATGATATAGCAAGTAAAAGGATAAATAGAAAGTAGCAAATAGTAAATGATCTTCAAATCAGGAGTTTACAGCATCCAGCAGAGATGGAGAATCATGATTTAGAGAATAAATAAAAGTAACATCATTCAATCAAGAGCTTACAAACAACTAGCAGAAATAGAATAAGGATTTTGGGGCAGCCTACTAAAGTTCTCAAATTTATCTTTCTCTCTGTGGATATGCTTCTATCTTCCTGTTTCCATGGCAGGTATTTTTATACCATGGGATAAACAACTGGGCCCATGAATAATGGAGGGCTCCCTGGGGACCATGTGCTCTGTGCTCAGATGCCCAGATGAGCCTACATATTTTGGGCTTCATCCTGGGTTGATGTTCTGAGAGTCTTTTCTAAGACAACACTGTCTCCGCATCTACCTAAGCATGTAATATGTCTCCAGCCTTAACCCAGTGAGACTCAATGTATTGACGACTCTTGGGACTCTCTAAAACAAAGGGATTATGGTTAGTGTTGACACTGGATTTCCTGGAAACCTTAAATCACTCATCATTCAGTAAATAATATATCACTTTGTGTAAGGACTAGGAGTAGTGAGCAAAGCCGATATGATTATCGCTTTCACAGAGATCGTTGTGCCAGAGGCAACAAATAAATATACTGATAAGTTATATAATGTGGAGAAGGTAGTCAGAAAAAGCCTTTAGAGGATGCAACATGTGTGATCCACCCTAAAAATGGAGTAGAAATTTAGTTATGAAATAGTACGAGGGGAAAGCATTCCAGGTCAAAAAGGGTTATGGAGCTCTGTCCTTTGGGTATGGCATGCCCCCTGCCACCTTGAAATTAGAGAAGCTATGATATAAGCTATAATCCACACTGAGACCATCACAGGATTAGGCCCAATAATTATCCCTTATAGAAGGAGGGTAATAAAATAACATCCAGTAGACATGCACACACACACACACACACACACACACACACACACACACACACACACACAAATTATATTTCCATGAAAGTAAGCACACATTGTTCTGCTCACAACTAGTTCTACTTTTCAGAATAGTGTCTGGCATAGGAGGCATTGAATAATGCTTGCAGCAGAAAATGGAAAGGGGAAAACAAAATTAGGACTTTTTTTTTCAACTATTGGATTGGCAAAGAAGAAATATATAACACTGAGTTGGCAAACAAGAACATTGCCAGTGGATTCGTGCTGAGTGGCTTGGCACTAATAAAAGTACAAATGGGTGAGCACAGTGAACCGAAACCTCCAATTGTGGCATACCATTAGATAGGCAAGTGGATCATGAGTTGTGGGCCAGTGTGGACAACACAGGGAATGACACTGTCTCAAAAAGCAAAATCCCCTCAAAAGTACAAGGGTCTGTATTCAAGAAGATCATTACAACCCCAAAGACTTCTGAACACGTAACAAGTGAGAACGTAAAGTCAAACAGCTAATGAATCCCATACATTCCTGGCAGCATTCGCCTGTGTTGTATGTAACACGACTTCACTGCAGATGTGCTTCTGAACACACAACAGTGCAAGCCATCAAGCCATGTAATGATAACAAACACGACCTTAAACATCTCAGCTCAAAAATAAGACTATTGTATCTTACAGATCTCAGAATTTCTACTATACATACAAAGTTTTCTACTTTTATAGAAACATAATTATGGAAAACAAATTTTTCTTTTACACTTTCCTACTATCATTCCTCAGCATGTATCGAATCAAAGATATCAGTGTGTCTTTGGTTGTATCATGTTAGAATGTTTGATTTTTAAATTTTCTGTTGAGTTGCTGACTTGAGTTTCATTAAAAAAACAACAACTGTTATGCGGGCCAGGCATGGTGAAGTGCACCTGTAATCCCACTACTTAGAGGGTAGAGGCAGGAAGTTATAAGGAGTTCAAGATCATTCTCAAATGCATACTTGGAAACCGACATGGACTATAATGAAACTGTGTTAAAAAGAAAATCAAAATCACTAAATTAATTTTGGCTTATGATTAAGACAGAATTCCCAGCGAGTTTTGAAATGGCCCCAACCATACTTGCGCTATTTTGTACTATATGCTTTTGCAAAGTGGTGTTCTTAGTATTGTCAATTATAAAGTCAAAATGTTGGCCAGTTCTGAAAAGCACTGGAGACACTCTATGTCTTTATCCTCTCTTCTACAGTATTTCATATCCTTTGACCTTCGCGTCCCCGTTATCCTCTGTCCAGCAGTCTCTCTGTCCCACTATCCTCTGGCCTTGCTGTCCCTCTATATCCTTGGCATATTTAGTCTCTCTGTTTCCTACCGTGTAGTATTGCTAGATAATACAGTAATCTACATTTTTGCCTTCTCCTCTCAAAAAATTCTCAAATAAATTATCCTGCTGCTATTTCCTTTTCAAGCTTCTTGGTATTTCTTTCCTATATTGAGATAATATTGCCAAAAATCAAAATAGTACCACATATGTGATAGTATATGTTACTTTTATTATTTTATAATTATACATTATTTCTTTCATAGGCTTTTTTATTTCTCAAACCTAGAGTAAGATCTGTTTATGTACTCTTTGTTACTGGTGATAAAACCAGGACTGAGAATGAAGTCATCCCAAAAGAAAGACATGCCCAGAGATATAGAATTCCTTGGGATTATCAACAGACCTAGCAAAGGCATCTCTCAGCACCCTGAATCCAAAGATGCTGTTGAAAATGGAAAGTGATTAAAATGGTGACAGAGGGAAAGAAGACAATACAAATGTGAAGACGGTGACAAAACTCTCAGTAGTAGCTCAGAGGAGAACTCACACTGGAGAGAAGCCCTATAAAGATAATAAATGTGAGAAAACCTCCACTCAACTCTCAGATCTTGTTGGACATGATAGAGTATGCACTGGAGTAAAGCGCTATAAATGCAGAATGTGGGAAAGATCCCAGTGAGCACACAGGTATTATTCAACATCAAAGAACCCACAGAGCTGAAAACCCTGTGGGTGCAGGGAGTGTGTAAGACCTGTGTGTAAGTTCAGCTCTTGTTAGACATCAGAGACTTCATGTAGTAAGTAAGCTCTACTAAAAAGAGAAAAGTACTAAAAATTCTTTTAATACTCAGGCCTAATTAGTGGTCAGAATCTCCCTTAGAGTCCATGGGTGTTCTAAATGTGGGCAAAACTTTAGTCATCATTTAAAAACTCTAACCAAAAAAAAATGAGTAAAATATTCCCTTATTTCTTAGTTCAATTTTGAAAGAAGAATCAACTGTTACTTCAGGAGGCTTTAACCTGGTGTGTTGACTTGCGTTTATAATCCCAACACTTGGGAAGGTAAGACAGGAGATTTTTCCCTGAATATGAGGCCAGCTAGGGCTACAAAGAGACTATCTTTTTTTAAAGGCAACCTTTTCATTGTTCACTTGTGACCCAAACTTGAAAATTCCTGCTTGACCATGACTTCTACCATCTGTTCTAGGTTTTCAGTTGGCCATTCAATACATAACACTAGGTAAGACATTCAAAATTCCTCTGCCTCATTTTCCCCAGAAGAGAATTGAGAACCATCAGCCCTGTTTTGACAACTTAAAATAGATAAAAAGTCATCTTTGAAATTAAAAAGTAAACAAATATTCATCCTTTCCCACCATTAATAATAGCCTAAATATCCTTTTTAGACCTTAAGATATGGGCTGTGGTTATTTTGTGGAACTTTTACAGTTTCCAATGATAAAGTATCAAGTACTGGGAGGCTGACCACACATCACAGTCAAAGAGAAAGCAGTGGTCAGTAGGCGCAGTATAATGTAAGATCACTACTCTTCCCGGGTACTGTAAAGGGCTAGTTCCTCAATCTGAAGTGTATGATGGAAATTTGGAGTAATTCATGAAGCATTAACAGGAAAGCACAGGGTATCTAGGAGGAATAAAGAGAAATCCGTTAGGCATAGTAAGCGCCCTCCTGAGATCTACCACCCAACCCTTACCCTTGTCAGCTGAAGCCGGAGGCTGGCCAGGCAAAAGCTTGGGTGACATAAACATATGACATTCCTCGGTCCACAGTCCCCAGCAGCAGCTTAGCCATCCTCTTGGAGCTGCTGACAGCCGGGAGGCGGGGTACTTGGTCCCTTTGCAAGCCGACCATAGAGCTGTCAGACCTCCGGGCTTCCTAGAGAGCTTCCGGAAGTGGCTGTGGGGCAAGATGCGTGCTGGCCGGTTCTGCGGCTCCGAGGGTTTGGAAGTTAGCGGCTGGAGGGGTCCCGCCCGGGTTCGGTGTCCGTCGCGTCTCCTCGCGCGCTTCCCGGTCCGCGCTGGGCCGCCTCCCGCCCTCGGGCAGCGTGCGGAGCTCTCGGTGAGTGCGCTCGGCCGGGCAGGGGCGCGCGGGCTGCGGAGCCCCGAGCGCGGGGAGCGGGTCGGCAGAGGGCCTGCGCCGGCCAAGCAGGCCGACACCCGGCCCCAACTTCCTGCGGGGTCCCGCTTTCCATCACCGGCAGCCCTGTGGTATTTTGCAGTCGCTTTTACTTGGAAAGCCGGCTCGTGTGTCAGCTGTTTCTACTCAGCAATTTTGCCTTTCGATCTCAAAAAAAATTTTAAGCTACTTCTTTTCAAGCCTCTGCTACACATGGAAACCTTTGGTTTATTTTTATTTTATTTTATTTTTGTTGTTGTTGCTCCTTTTTTCGGTCAGAAAATGGTTGATGTGATGGCTGGACAGTTGTGTGCCCAAGAAATACTTTAATTCCAGGGTAACACAATTAAGCCGTATTCAGAATACTTTGCTGACTTAATTTATTAAAGCTAACTGAAATAGATGCTTGAAAACTCCGTGAGTTCCCATTTCCAAAAGTCAAGTCAGTCATGAGTAATCTTTGTCAGACTTCTAAGACGTTGACCACCACTTGACAACAATACTTATTTCTATTTGACAAAGTCACTGAAGTGTAGTTATGTGGCAGTCATTATTTTAGCAAATGTGCACGTTTTGAGTTCCTCTTGTGGTTAAATATAAGAATGTGATAAATCTTAAAAGCATTCATCAAAGCAACGCCCACACGTGTGTCTGGCCCACTCCTGAGTGCCATTTCTGCCAACCCCCATGCTTAAGCCTGCATTAAAATAACTTTAGAAATCTCCAAAAGAAAAATCCTCAGTGAATGCAATTTGAAGTAACTACAAAGCATAGTGTTTGTTTCATTTACTTTTCCTTGATCTCTAAAGCCTGGAGATTGTCTTTCCTGATTTGCACTCAGTACCAAGACATTTCTCAAGTTAAACTTAATCTGAAGGGAAATACATCTTCTACATCTATTGAAAAGTCAGTTGAGGAGGGAGGAGAGAGGAATCTGTTTTTGGTATGTAAAATGAATAGAAAATCTCTTAGTAATAACTTTTAAAAAGGGGGAAAAAAGAAAAATCAGTATTGTTTTAGTTGACTTGTGCCTTCCTTAGTTGTCAAGACTTTAACATTTTAGATCCAGAAGAAGCTTAGGACTGTTGTCTTTACATTCATAAGTCAGTAAATCTAGCTGGATGTTCTTTAAGGATAATATGTAAGGATCAGTGTTTATAGGTGCTTACCAACATTGCAGTTTGTATGCACAAAATTATTAGAGGGGAGAATACCTAGAGGACTAATTTTTTATTCAGCTTTAATATTGAAGAAAAAATAAAAGCTTGTTGGAAAAGGAAGAGTTTTTTCTTTGAAAGATTAATATTAGTCATTAAAAAGAATGAAAAGACCATGTATATTGATGCACACCTGTAATTGCATGCAGTACTTAGGAGACTGAGGTTGGGGAATCACCAGTTTGAAACCAGCCTGGGTTATAGAGTAAGATATTTGTTTTGTTCTGTTTGGGGAGGGTGAATAAGGTCCGCTCATGCCACAGTGCCCTAGTATTGATCAGAGGATAACTTGCAGGAGTCGGATCTCTCCCTCGACTGTGTGGGTCCTGGGTCCAAACTCAGGTTGTCAGATTGACAGCAGGAGCCTGTAACTTCTGAACTGTCTTGCAGAACCCTGTGTCTCTTTAACAGTAGAGCGGTCACACTGAATTAAGGACCCATCTTATTCCGGTTGTAATTTCATGTTAATTTGATTATCTCTACCTACTATTTGCAAATAAGGTTACATTCATAGGGACGACCTAGGGCATCTGTTTTGAAGACAGAGTTAGTAGCATCATGGAACGTGAGTGAAAGAGAAGTATAGCCAAAGTCAGGAGAAGTCACCGCTGCGGCCCTAGCAAGGGGCGTATCTACACAAGAAAAGAAAACATTAAAGTACACATAACACACAAAGAAACAGGGCCGTCCAGGTGAGCTCTTTGGACCTGGAGTTCTAGCTGTAACTGTCACTCTTACAACAAATCCAGACAATTCTCTGTTGTGTTGTAAATATAGCCCTCTGATGTTCTTTGATTCTGTCAATGAGATAAAATTTTCATGAGGTTGTGGGAGCCTGCTGACCAATTGATTGGGTAGCTGGGTAGAGGCATGCGGATTGAAGAGACAGTGAAGAAGACAGAAGAGTCGAGAGGTCTGCCAGTCAATGCCAAACAGTGCCTGAGTTTATTTCACAGCCAGCTTGTATTCAGTCTGGAAGGACAGAGGTAGAGCAATGCACAGCACAGACATTCAACCACCATCTATCCTGTCCTTGAGTCAAGGAGCAGGCAGTTTCATTTTCTATCCCAATGTACCTCCAGCTGGCATCAGCAGCCTGTGTCTAGCTAGATAGTATGTTCCTTCCCGTGGGCTAATCAGGATTTTCTCACAGCCCTGGAGCAAGCGAGCCTGAACTCTGTTGACTCAGAGTTCAGATTGGCTTCAGATTCAAACTGGGAAACTGAGTCAGTTGTGGGCTCCCACAATGAGGATTATGAAATTAAGAGAGAAAAACTTTTTTGCAGCCAGAAATGTACAGTTATGAGAAAAGTAGTATGTGTAGATATAAAGGAAAATAGTTTGGTCAGTAATGAAAGTAGTCCAAGGAACTTAAATGAAGAGATACCAGTATTCATGGACTGGAACATGCTAGTTAAGGTAGCATCCCTAATGTGATAACAGTACTATTAAGATAGTATCTCTAAACTGAGCTATAGATTCAATACAAGTTCAGTCCCAGCATTATTAGAAATCAGTAAGCTTATTCTAATATGTGTTTCAAAAAAGGAGACAGCCAGCAAAGCCAAAACAGCTTCAAAAACAGAAAAGTTGCAGGATTGGAACTACTTGATTTTAATATTTAAAAATCCATCTTCAGGCAGCTTTGTATCAAGAGAAGGTAGATTTCTGGGTCAAGATAACAGAATAGAGACTCCAGAAAAGTATTCATGGTCAGTCAGCTTCTCCCATCCCTCCCCCAGATGAAAAAGAAAGCAATTCAGTATATTACCCTTTCTGTGGATGGTGCTAGAGCAGATTGTCATCTTTATGCAAGGAGGGGGACCCCTAGCCATACCCTCACCTCCTCAAAGATTAATTCAGAACAGACCATAGACTTAACAGTAAAACCTAAAACTACAAACTTTTAGAAGAAAACGTTTGTGATTTGGGACTAAGCAGACATTTCTTAAATATGATATCAATAGTACAATTCTTTAAAAAAATTGGTAACTTATGCTTCAAAAAAATTACAAATATCTTCTTCAAAGGCCACTGCTTAAAAAAATAGAAGAGAGAGCTGGGCGGTGGTGGCACATGCCTTAAACCTAGCACCCGGGAGCAGAGCCAGGCGGATCTCTGAGTTTGAGGCCAGCCTGGTCTACAGAATGAGATCCAGGACAGACACCAAAACAACACAGAGAAACCCTGTCTCAGGAAAAAAAAAAAAAAAAATAGAAGGGAGTCAATATTTGTAAATCATGTATCTCTTGTATCCAAAATATATAAGGAGTTCTCAAATCTTAAACATACAAACAATATAAAACCTCAGTTACAAAATAATACTGGGCAAAGCATGATGACACATGCATGTACTCCCAATACTTGAGAGATGGAGGCAAGAGGATCCTAAGTTAAAGATCGGGCTGCACATTGGGGTCCAGACTATACTGGGCTACATGATAAGACCCTGTCTCAGCAGTCTAAACAAACTAAATAAGTGTATAAATAAAGCTGAGCATGGTGGTACACACCCATAGTCCCAGCACTTGGGAAGCTGAGGTGGGAAAATCACAGGTTTGATACTCTTTAGTTATAGAATGAAACTGGAAAAAAAGAAAAAAAAAAAAGAGCCAAAATTTTTAAATCAGTACTTCACCAAAATATGTGTGTGTTCAACATTGTTAGTAAGAAAACAAGTTAAAATCATGACACATTACTACATTACTATGTACCTATTATAATATTTAAAATTTTAAAATACAATGTCAGGCCCTAGTGGAATGCAAAATATTACAGCCGCATTGGAAAGCAGCTCAACAATTTTTTAGATACTACACTTAAGACTCAGCAATTTACTTCTGGGTTTTACCCCCCACTGAATTAAAAACTGTCACACAAGAATATGTATGCACATAATCATAGTGTTTTATTCATAATCAGGAACAGGAAACAACTCACATGGTTATTTGTATAAGATAAACAGACACAGCATTGATTAATATCAGGTGTCTTCTGCTAAGTGAAAGTTGTCAAACTCCAACACTACTGTTTTATTTCTATAACATTCTAGAAGGTCATTGGTGTGTGGGTTGAGATTTGGGCATTGTAGATGTTCATAAGACGTCCAGGTTCTTTGCAGCTCCACTGCTCCAAAAGATTTTTTAGGAGTAAGAGGTGGAGTCCAAGAGTTAGCCCTGAGACAAAAGGGAAGATCGAGAGCATTAGTAGGATGCTGAATCTTAGGTAGTGGAGAGGAAAGGGTTCAAAAGGTTCTTGGAGTAGAGGATAGAGAAATTAATCTCATCTGTTGAGAATAAGAACAGGGTTGGGCGCTGAAGTACAAACAACAGTTGAGTGGGAGGTGTACAAGGTGTTACGAGGAGTTCAGTGAGTGGTCCTGAGAGCGGCCTGATATTAAATACAGACATTCAGTTAGGCCGAGTCTCCGGCCTCCACAGCCCTAAGCAGGAAATCAAAAGGGAGGGTTTGTACCCTAGGTAGGTTTGGTGTGGCAGATTGTTTAGGGGAGCTTGTTGAGGTATGCTGGTAAGTTACTATGACTTTTGCCTTACCTTAACATATTTATTATTTCCTGTTTGGGAAGAAGTACCCTGGAGGTCCTCGGAAGACTTAAGAAGATACAGAAGGACTTTTAAGCATTTCTGGCCCTAAATGGCTACAGAATCAAGAAAGCCTTCTTCGGCCCCATCTCCACCAGACCAAGCTCCTGAAGAGGACCTTGTCATTGTCAAGATAGAGGAGGATCATGGTTGGGATGAGGAGTCTAGTGTGCATGAAAATAATACTTCTGGCCAAGAATTGTTTCGCCTACGCTTCAGGCAGCTATGCTACCAGGAGACCTTAGGACCCCGGGAAGCTCTGATCCAGCTTCGTGCGCTTTGCCATCAGTGGCTGCGGCCAGACTTGAACAGCAAGGAGCAGATCCTGGAGCTGCTGGTGCTGGAGCAGTTCCTGACCATCCTGCCTGAGGAGCTGCAGACTCTGGTTAAGGAACACCAGTTAGAAAATGGAGAGGAGGTGGTGAGCCTGTTGGAGGACTTGGAAAGACAGATTAATATCCTAGGACGACCAGTAAGTAGCTATGCATGCTGTGACTGGATTCCTGGAAGCTGGGTAGAAAGACATTGGCTTCACTTGGAGGAGTAAATTCTCTGCCCTGGTTTCTGTTGAATGCAGATGGAAATTATTCAATGCATTCACTGTGTATTGCACTTGTAGTTTTGTAAAGGAGAGAACCCATTTCTTATCCTCTTAAAATTCCTTCAGTTGGCCGGGCGGTGGTGGTGCACGCCTTTAATCCCAGCACTCGGGAGGCAGAGGCAGGCGGATCTCTGTGAGTTCAAGGCCAGCCTGGGCTACCAAGTGAGTTCCAGGAAAGGCGCAAAGCTACACAGAGAAACCCTGTCTTGAAAAACCAAAAAAAAAAAAAAAAAAATTCCTTCAGTTGTATTGTTATCCTTGCTTGCTAAAGGGGACCATGAGACACAAGGAGCTTAAATTACTTTTCTTCTGGGGTACCCATGGTACCTGTGGTCGGGGTTTGGGTCAATGTTTCCACACTTTTGGCCTCTTATTCAAGAAATTAAACTAAAGACCCACACACATTGTACAGGGAGCAAGGAAACTTTATTCAGTGGCAGAATAACAGTACAAAGGTGGAAATACAGTCAAGAGTGACAGGCCACTTGAGTGAGAGTACTTAAGGGCCCCAGTTATTTGGGGCTTCTTTTTATGAAGTTTGCTAACAGGCATGATGGGGATGGTTCTTTGTTTTCTCAAAGGACACAGTTTGCCTGATTGCTCATGTACCCAACATCAGCCTAGGTCTGCTTGGCCCCCTACCTTCCTTACCAGATATAA